GCCGTCAGAACTTTTTATATCATGACAAGAACTAAATAATTTATCATATATTTTTGTGAATAATTTTCGTACATATTATTTATGAGCTCAACTTGGCGCGATATAAGGGAGCCTCAACGTTAGCCCTAGGCTTCAGTCTTCTTAGGTTTCCATGTCACAAATTCATGTGCATGCACTCATATACAATGTAGGGTACATAATTAATGATGTGATTGTGACAAACCAAATAAAACTATTATGTTATATTATGTATCAGGAAATTCAAGGACTAAAGGCTGAAAAGAAGGCGCTAGAAACCTGTAAACAGTGACAATAAACTGTTCAAACGGCAACTTTAATGAATTTCAAACAGCTTTGGCCTGTGTAAGACATGAACAAAATCAATTTCAAAATGTCCAATTCTTAATGCCAAACAATTTCTGAAAATATCCACTAAAGCAAGAACGATTTAAGCACTTTCAAGTAATTCTTTACTTGAAAGGATCTTGATTTTTGTTTCCAAATTCAAGGACGAACCTTGAAAACATCTAGAAATAGTAATTTTCCATCCTTTTCCTTTTTCAAAAGTAATAGGATCTTATTTGACCACCGTCTTCTCACTGGATCAATCCTACAAACCTTCAAACTTCTGGGAGTGATAATATCATCGTACCTCACGTGGAATGCGCATCTTGATCACATCTGCACCAAGGCAAGTAAAGTAAACGCCTGGCCCCTACACTCTAAGGATCCTCAAACTATCTGGTGCCCCAGCCAATGTTAATAACTGTCTTTTGTGCATTTATTCGTCCAGTTTTGGAATACACCTCACGTGCATAGCATTTTTCTCTCCCTCAATTCCTCGCTGACCAAATCGAGAGTATACAAAAACGTGCATTGAAGATCGCTTTCCCCCAGTCCTCTTATGTTTCTTCATTAGGGAATGTTGTTCTTACACTTTACCAGCGAAGACAGAATCAGTGCTTGTCATTTTATAACAACATCCATCAACACTCGGACGACAAGTTAAGAACGCTACTTCCCAGTGCTATATCTCACAATTCTGTCTACGAAACAAACGCACTAATCTTACGTACAAGTGCAAAACTGAACGATATAAGAACAGTTCTATCCCAAAGTGTGTTAGAAATTGGGACCGAGCATTGGCATAACATAATATTTTATAGTATCATCAATATATTTTATATTATAGTAATTTTAAACTGAACTTATTGCAATTTTTAATATTATCTCTGTATTATATCACGTTTTTTTAAATTCCTATATGAATTTACACAATGTGGTGATTAATAAAAAAAATCTATCTATCTAAAATCTATCTATGGTATATGCATGCATCAGGTAGTGGTATATTCCTCTCATCTCATAGCAGGCTTGTTATCGTCACTTGTTATCGCAATGTAAGCGCATTGAGACTTTTAAATGCGCATAAGAACATCATTATTATCACCTACACTGATAACGAGCATTCGAGATGATATCACAGAAGAAATCCAGTGACGATGGTGAACCTCAAGAGATTTTGCGATAGTTGTAACTCCCCACCATGTACAGTCGTCTTCATCATACTACCCAATATTCCAGAGTTTTGTACAGCACAAGACTCTGGAGTGTGGGTAGTTATGAACAAGACGTATAAATACGATCCATTGTCACTAAAATCCTATGATTTCAAGTCGTCCTCCTCTTGTAACACAAAAAGTTGTTCATAATTAATTTCCGGACGAAACGTCGACGTCCTGAGGATATTTTTCAGGTATAGTAGTATCTCTCTCAATGTACAGCCGACTTCTTCATAACTCTCCATGTTCCAAAGTGTTGCGATACTCAGGGGCCAGTTGTTCAAAGGTTGGTTAGTGCTAACGCCTAACCTTCGATTAAGATTTAACCCGCTGTTTTAGTTCTTTAAACTTCAGAGAAGTAAACTCGTATCGATCCAGACAAGATTTCTGAACTAGGGATCCAAGGATAGTGTGAAGTTACGAATTGAAAAAGACACTGCAACAACTATATAGGGTTGCTGACAACCTAGAAAGGCTGATGGCGTACACTACGAAATAAACAGTTACCAAAGGCATTTCATCTCGTTATCTACTTTATAATGCGTTCGGCACATGAGTAGCGCCACGTTTGAAACAAGCTTAACAGATCAGAAACGTGCCTCGTGGAACTGATACAATTTATTTATTTATTGTGATGCTACACGCGACAACTCGAAATTTAAATTGTTTCACCAACACCCAAATTTTAAATATTCTAAAACTTCATTTGAATTTGCAGCTGTCGCTAAAAGCATCCTAACGAGGCTACTGATACGCTGAACTTATTTAATATGATTATTTCCATCACCCAAATAGCTGTATAAGATATGTCATGAATAATAAGCACTACGACGTTGTATCATTAAAAAAACGCATTTTATCCCCATCCGTTCTATATTTTATCCCCATATCCGTTCCGTGGATCCGCTCCATCCGCTTCCGCATTTTAACGTAATTGTGACATGTTTCACAATAACAAGTCTAGACGATTGACCTTCGACTTTATATTCCCAATGGCAATGTCACATTGCTTTTCGCATGTATTCAATAATGTCACTTTAGATTTCAATAGTTTCACAGTTATAGCAGTGTTTATAGCAGTTTTAACAAGCTTTGATACGGCTCTGTGTACAGATTGATTCTCGTAAGATCTGGTAGAGTTATCGTTGCACTGAACACGAGTTTGCACTGTTGACGTTGTGCTATACAGTAAACAAAGTAAGTCCGTGACGGTACACGTTGGCTACCTCCTTGCTTTTTTCTTCTATTGCTTAAAGCTTGTTGGCAAGCCAAGCGATTGGCGATAACACGTTGGCTATAACTCCTCGTCTTTCTTGTTTAAATAAAGAGCTCTGCAGACTCAACTGATTTTTTTTTTGTCTCGATCACAACTCACAAGTTATTTTCTTCGTGAACGACATACAAACACCCGCTTCTGTTTAATAGTTGTTTACGCTTTGTCTGATGCAATTTTTCGCTCTTTGTACTGAATGTAGCCATCTATTCTGTGGTGTAGCACCTTATACAGCCAATGTGGCCAATGTATAATGAATACACGGCCTAAACAATATATCTTCTGGCACTTAATTGGGCGCCGGTAATGAATAACGTCATCAACATATATATTGCGTAGAATCTGAAAGATTTTCTCAATATTGATGTCTGAAATGTTTATATATTTGAAAACAACCCTCTCTCGTTCTTTCCTACCTCTGTATAATGGGTATACCGTGAAAATAATATCGGCACTCAATTGAATGCCTAGAATCTCAAAGATTTTCGAAAAATACTATTCTAGCTCCTTGCTAGCTCTGTAAAATGAATATAACGTCTAAATAATATCGGCACTAGCATCAATTTATATATTGCGTAGATTCTCGAAGATTTTCTTCAATATTCACGTCTGAAATGTTTATACATTTACATTTCAAAACAACACTATCTCGCTCCTTCCTAGCATCGTCACGCCATCATGATCTACGGCTTGATAGTGCATGCGCATTTGCGCTGCTAAAGAAAAAATCGGGTGTTCCGGGGGTAAAGATCCTTTACACGACATGAGAAGCGCATGTTTTAAAATTTACAATAACGACAACAATTCCTCGAATTTTTTGCAAACTTGGCAAAAGACCTAAAGAATATTGAAATAAGACAACTGAAATTGCCTAAATAACCTTCAAAGCACTGACTAAGTATGATAAATCACTACGAACAAATATCGTATACACCCCCCGGAAAGTTTACTGTATGACTGAATGAATGACTGACTGACTCGTGTGAATTTTCCCCAGTCATCACAATACTGTGAAGTTTCGAAGAAACTTCACACTAAAAATCGTTTCCAAATCTGTAAGCTGATCGACTTGTGGGCAAGTCTAGCTGGAAGTCTGCTTCGAATTTTAGGTTAACCTAGGGTTAAGTTGATCGGCTAAAAATTGGCTACTGGAATACAGATAGTCAATCCAACTCAATATTGTTTCACTGTGGAAACACTTGCGTCAGAGTCATACAGCGACGAATCCTCCATTGTCTGGGAGGTTAATTCCAAATTCCAAATGTACGCTCCAAAAACTTCAAAGCATATAGTTCTTAGTTTCTTCAAAGTGTAATCTTTGAGGTTAGGGCTTATTAGAGAGAGGTAGGTTAACTCCAAGAGGAGGCAATGTAGCTATTATGCAACTTCGGGATGCGATCGTTGGCCATGTCCGTGCAGGGCAGGAAAAAAGAATTTTCTTCCTGGGAGCACAAAGTGGAGACAAAAATTTCCTGCAGACCAACGGAGTATTTTTGTGCTAAATCTGCATGTGCATCATAAACATATAGTGTTCTAGCTGACCATGGTTTTAAATTGAAGGAATAATGTCTGTCAACGGAACCATATGTTGTTGCGCCCATAGTGCGACATGGGTGTTAAGGTTTCCTTCAAATTTTCAATAGCAAATCTTCATTCAAACGAATTTCTTGCAACTATTTAACATTTCCTGCGAGCAGTACTCGCGTGCTTGCCTATCTTTTCCATCCCTGACAATGCCCATAACCACTTGAATCTACGCGCAGCAGCCAGCAGTGTTTTGCAGAACGGTAGCCTAAGCATCAGGCTCTATTTGCATAAAGTTTACTGTGTGTGGAAAGCGACCGGATTAAGGTTTGTGTCGGGCTCTACTTGTAGAGACTCAATCAGTTGTCCGGCCTTCTCTCGTCAATTTGACTATAAAATAGTCAAGTTCTTCTCTCTTTGATCGAGTATAGCGTGTGTTAAAATTGTTTTGTTTGCGTTGGAAAATCAAAGCTGCGAGACTAGAAACTTCTCGCGTGTTTCTAGAAATACGTTTGTCGACCAATCAACGTTCGCGTACTATAAATGTTATATTATAACATGCATAAATATATAAGACTTATAAAATGGAAAACGCCGTGAAGAGCATTGAATTTATATCATTTCGTTTTGTAAAAATTTCCCCCCAAATTATAATGAATTTAATGCTTTAAAATCATTTACCAGCAGATAATTTCGCGACATATAATATGGAACACACTTAGAATATTTGCAGTAATCTTTGATCACAGGTGATTTTGAAAGGTAGCTATACAAAAAGTACGTTGCAATTAATAGTTCTTTGTAGGTTTGCACATGGCGATAAAACATATAATATTTTTTTGTTTGTTTGTGGAAACACCACGTATAAATGTATTACTCCGTAAGCCCGGATCTTCATCAGTGCTAATACTATGATCGAAAGCTTTGCAGATTTTAATATGATCGAAAGCTTTGCAGCTTGCTTTCGATCTTTACGGATCGAATGCTTTGCAGTATTAAATTTACGTGGTGTTCTCGCAAACAAAAAGTATTATACGTTGCAATTATTTTTAACATGAATTAACTCTCGAAATAGCTTAATAACAATCTAACAGATTGTCTTTATTCTCTGAGGCAGCTGCTAATATGTCCTTGAAGAAAGGAAATGGATCTTCTAACAAGTTGCTTACCTGGAAATCAGCGGCAAATTCGGAGAAATCAATAGCCAAAAGCGTCTGTAGAAGAGAGCAATTTCTGTCTTTTTTTGTCTGTAATATGAAATCGTTCAACTCATCAACCGAGCCGTTGTAATGTAATTCATCATTTTCAAGCAGCCCAACAAGATGTGTCTTCAATTCTTCCAGAAGAGCAAGACCTCTCACTCGGACAGGTTGATCACAGTCTGTTATTGCACCGAGTATAACCGTGCTTATCTCATTTAAACAACCGCTTTCTATACAACTCAATGTTTTCTTGTCCTCGTCACAATAGTGGTGAAGCATGGTCTCCCAGAAATTCAAAACACAAAGTTTAACTTCCCAGTCAAAATCTTGGCTAGCTTTATTAAGCACTTTGTCAACAGGTGTAAAAGATTTATCTTTCAAATGCATCAATATTATGTTGTGTTTTCTATCCAGCCAGAAACTGAAGATGTCTATCGTAGCACGACGGGCAAATGCGGCCTCCTCTTGTTCAAATGCATTCACAATATAATTCAGCACTTCCTCCTAGTAATACAGAAAAAGTTCGAAAATTACTGTGGTGCTTCTGTATTCAGTTTGCGTGAATCTTTGAGTCTCATAGTGTGGACAAGTTCGTACCGAAACAAGTATGTTTCAATTTATTATTACAACTGAGATACTTTCTCACGTTTCTCATCAACTAACAGGGGTGCATATTCTTCTATAATCCCCCCCCCCCGCCCCTGGGGTGGGGGGAAAGAATCAAAGGGTCTTAGGGCTAGGGAAGAAAATCAAAGAAGAGTAGAAAAAATGGAAAGGCAGAGGGAAAAGAAGAGAAAATTTCCGTTGTTAATTCGTGAAAATCAGTGTTTCCACTTTCCAAAATGATTTTTTCTAATTTTTTCCTGATTTTGATCGAAATTTAAAGCATTTAAATAACTAGCTAATTTATAATTTTGGTATTTTATTCTATCTTGGGGAGGGGACAAATATACTATGTCACAGTATTAGGTACAGGCCTTTGAGACTGATGTAGTAAAGATATGGGGAAAAGAGTCAAATCTGAAAAGAAGGGGGGAGGGGGGGGGGGAAGAATCAAAGTTCATTGAAGAATTATACACTCCTGTCAACTAAAATATCTGTCTCCTTCTAACGTTATTACTTTTTAAATGTCTATTAAACACCTCTTACAAATAAGCCCTCTGCCTAATAAGCTCTCTCTCCCTAATAAGTTCCTCTATAATATGTCCCCCTCTAATAATCCCTCTCTCTAATAAACCCCTCTCTCTAAAAAGCCCTCTCTCTAATAAGCCCGCTCTCAAATAAAGCCCTCTTCCCAATAATAAGTCCCTCTCTCTATTAAGTCCTCTCTCTCCCTCTCTCTGTGATAAGTCCTCTCTTTAATATGCCTTCTATCTAATACGTTCCACTCTCTAATAAACCCTCTAATAAACCGTCTCTCCAATAAACCCTCTCTCTAAAAAGGGCTCTTTTTAATAAGCCCTCTCTCTAATAAGCCCTCTCCTTAATACGTCCCCCTCTCTAATACATGTAAGTCCCCCTCTCTAATAGGCCCTCTCTCTAAAAAGGCCTCTCTCTAATAAGCCTCCTCTCCAATAAACACTCTCTATTAGAAGTCCTCCCTAATACGCCCTCTCCGTAATACCGTAAACCCTCTCTCCAATAAGTCCTACTAATTGTCAAACAGGCAGGCTGCATCAGCAACTTGCGCTCTCACTAGCCACCAGTAGCCAGAATGGAAAGGCGGCAACATACCAAAGTACATTAATAAAATATTCCTTACCTCTGATAATGAGATAGTTTCACAATAATGTTTCCATACGCTATCATGTGTTGACAGAACCCCCAGTAGATATAATGAACATGCTCTGACATAACTTTCGCTATCCTCCATTAATTTCCACAATAAAAGCAACAGCTTTCGGTCCAACAATAGCTCAATATTAGCACCTAAAATAAAACAATCTTTATGAAGTAATCTTATACCAATTTCGCATACATACATTCATTCGAACAATTTACAGTATTATTAGCTTTTTTGGACTTGTTCTTAATACACAACCTTGGAAAAATATCCGTAGCCTTTCTCAAAAATATATGCATATTTGAAAACATGTAACGAAAATAGGAGTGAACCCCTCCTCCCCTTATTGCCCACATCCCTTGCTGTCCTCAGCAGTCTGCAACGCTACTATCCCAACATTACCATTATTTGAGATGACCGAATCTGCATAGGGTGCTAGACACCACCAGGTGCGCACCCCCTGCCCCCTCCCCCCACGCTAGACCGCCCCTGGTTTTCACGTTCAACCTAAACTATTCAACAATCATTAAATATTTATTTACGTTGATTTATGAAAGGGAGGTATAAAGAACTTACCATTAAAAGTCGTAAGGAGGAATCGAAGAAAAATGAGAGTAGAATCTCGAACATCCCAACACGAGTTAGAACAATGCAGAATGAGAAGTTTATTTAAAGTTTCAATATTCACATAGCATGGAAACACAGCTTCCGTCTTGGAGAACAAACTTTTGATGCCTTCAAAACAGCTACTGATTATCTAGACAAATAAAATCGCATCAATTACTGCTTGTGTAACTCTTGAACAAATGCCAATTCTCTTAATACCATCGTAGGAGCTGTGGTGAAGGTTTGGTTTGTTTCATTTGAATGAACTTTTAAAATTGAATGTTTTGACAAAAAAATTATCATAAAACAGCCGCCATCTTGGATTTAACAAATTGACTGGACAACATGAGAAACATCAATTAATTGTTATTTCATTATACAGAGAACCTGAAGCATTGTAGTAAACAATTACAATAGCAGTATATATTCTGGAACTGCAAGTGCTTTTGTGGCAACAGATCTTAAGTAAAATTCGACAACATACTTTAACCCTTTGACAATATGGTTTCCCTTAACAAGGAACATTGTTCGGTAAAATAAAGTAAAATAACAAGGTAACTTGCAATGCCAGTTAGAGGTTCACCCATTTTGTATGGTAACGTTAAGAATAGAGAGTTTGAGCAAGAGAACGAAGTCGGACGACGACTGCGTGGTTGACAATTTTTGCCTGTCTTGCACATTATCTTGCGCATTCTGACTTTAGGGTCAGGGGTGAAGACAGATTAGAGATTCATGTCTAGCTGTTTATGAATGTTGACCCAAGTCCTTACCCTGATCAGGACAAAACAGCGAGACATGAATCCATATCCCGTCTTCGTTCTTCTGCCTTCGTTCACAACGAATATTTTGGCAAAATTCGTCGTGAACTTCGTTCCGAACGAAGGCAGAAGGACAAAGACGGGATATAGTTTCATGTCTCGCTGTTTTTTTCTGGGTCAGGGCAAGAATTAGGGTCAGTATTCATAAACAGCGACACAGGGGAAGACACGCTGAGCAACCACCAGTGACGTCCAACTCAGTATGCGCAAGATAATGTACAGACGGCAAAAATTGTCAAGTACGCCTTCGTCTTCGTACTTCGTTGTCTTGCTCAAACTCCCTAATTCATTCATTATTTATCATAATATGGGAATAACAAAAAAGTGACCCACTCGCCTCGGCGGCTCGTGAGCCACATTTGTGTTCTTCTTCCCACATTACGTGTATCTATGCAGTGTATCTATAACTGAACACACAAGGGCAAAATCTATCTATTTGTTAAAAGTTGCATTGAGCCCACTTTATTATTTTACTCTGTCTTACACCAGACGACTTTACTCGTCAAGGAGAAACCGCTGGCACGCGATGGGTTCATGTTATTTTTTCCTGTTTATATTCTGGGATGAAGTGCTTACATGAAATATGTTCTTTAATATGATTGATCATTTACAGCACTTATCAATTTTAGGAAGCAATGGACTTCATCTTGTCCAAACGAAGCTCCCTATGGCTCGCAGTACATTGGGAGAAAAAGCTCGGCAAAATTCAAATATTTGAGACTAATTTACAATCAATTGTTCAAGACATTCTCAATCCAGAAACGCCAATTGCCTTGCGAACGTCAAGTCATCTTCTTGTTAGCCAGGAGCGGATATATTCACGAAAAGTCAAATACTTGCTAAAAGATTGTTCGGACACTTTGGTTAATATTAAAGCGGCGTTCAGGCCTGGAGTGTCAAGCTTAGATAAACCCGCCAAGCAAAGGAAATCCGTGAAGGAAATGACGATTTGTCCGTTGTTTATCACAGAAAAAGTTGATTTGCTAGATCAATGGATCCCGAAAGTTAGGTAAGAGTTAGGTTAGGTAATTAATATGTTTTTAATCACCTGAGTTTGGCGGTGGAAGTTGAATCTTGTCTTTGCTATGTATTGCATTGCATTGCATTGCATTGTATTGCATTGTATTGTATTGCATTGCATTGCATAATGTTCAATTTTGTTCTGTGCGATGTAGTTTTGTTTTGCGATATGTTGTTTTGTGTTGTATTCTTAAAATTTAGCAATTTTTAAAGGGCCCACTGTAATTGGTGTATACTGTTGTGGTGTCCCTGCCACTTGTTTGTTGTAAGTGGCGAAGTTTAATAAATAAATAAATAAATAAATAAGTACAGTAAATCGAGTAAGCTTACAGGCAATTAATCTCTGGAAAATAGCTAATTTCGGCATTGTTGAACTTGATTGTACATTGAATCAAAGCAAAATTGAAGAGAACACACTGCAGGACGAACCAATAAAAGTGAGCTCACTGGAAGATTATTTTGATGATTAAGGCTTTGAGGAGATGGATATTGATGGCACAGGTTAGTGTGCAGCATCATAACGTATTACTTTAAATTTGCAGTATCACGATACTTTAAATTTGCAGTATCACGATACGATATCCGCTGGATACCAGAAACCTAATCCTCACAGTAAAGTTATCTTTAGTATCCAATCAAAACGTTCTGTCAATTTCACACAAACTGAACAACAACAATCTAAATATGGTTAAAACTGCTATTATTTGTAGTGTAATCTAATTAGTACTAACCAATCAAAAGACAGACTAAATTTTGTTTTTTTGATTGAGCAGTCAGGTGAAAAGCTGGATTTTGGCTTTTTTGTCCCTCTTTTCCCCTCTATGCACCCCCATTTAAGAGAGGGCCTGATACTCAGGCTAATCAGATTAGCCTGCGTAGCATCTGGGTTTTTTGGGGGGAGGACTTGCGGGCGTGAAAATTAGGGCAGGAGAACTGCTACTACTATATATTAGAGAGGAAAACTCGATTTGCAAATTTCCTTTTTGAAAATTTGAAGAAATTTCCTAGCTTGCATGTGACTTTATTAATAGGAGCAGCAAAGGAGCAGCAAAGTAGCGGCTGTTTTCGCAGGCTAGAAATTTCCGTTCTGAAAAATGGAAATACTGCCCGCGAAAAACAAAAATGGCGACCGTTTCGTAGCAAATCCTATAAAGAAAATGTGACCATAGTGTTCATTTCACACATCCTTTTAGTACAAAATTAAACTAATAGTCAGTACAATACTCCATAGCTTACATTACAGTAAAATACATTTCAAAGTGATTGTGAAAATCAATCTTTAATCTAAACCTGAAAACATTGTTTTTGCAAAACGTCATTTGCAGAATGGACGGCTGACTACAATGTCAATGATACTAATAAATCACAAATAACATATAATAAATGTTTAACAATTAATAATTAATGAAACTATTTTAAACACTGCAAGCTTTGAAACTCACTCTTTCTCTGTGATTATATATTTCACACTATGTTCTGAAAAAATTGTGGCAAATGCGAATAAATTGTAAAGGGAAGGTTATATTTTTGCTCAAAGTGCTATCTGATACCCTGGTTCCATTGGTTCCAGAGGCTCTTTGCGAGGCGAAAGAAACGAGAGGCGAGAACCAGCATTTTGGAAAATACTTTTTGGATAAGTAGGGTACTAGGGCAAAATGGAAGAAAGTCGGGCAAAATGGAAGAAAGTCGGGCAACTAATGTTTTCCCTCTCGTACGTCTATGGGGAATTGAATATATTCCATATGGGAACTTTAATAATGTACACTGGACATTTGCAAACTAACTTCGTTATGTCATTTCAAATGTTGGTGCAGGTGCATTTCCTCCGGAGCAATTGTTCCACCGATTTTTATAAAGCTTCAGAGTTTTTTTGTTAAACAGAAATGCCATTCCGATGTACAATCCTTGTAAACAAACGAAAACAACAAACAAGTATTCGAATGCTTCTACATCGGGAAACAGCACGCCAACGAACGTGAACAGCATGCAGGGAAAACCGACCAGCATCACAAGTTTTGTGCAGATGAGAAGATTTCGTTTTCCTTCTTGGCGTTGTAAGCTCTGTCTTTCCTTGTCATGACGATACAAACTGACTGCTGTACGGACGAAAGTGAAGATATTATAGACTAGTAATATACCCACAGGTAATAGGAATAAATACAGCTCAGCGTTTACAGCTCCCAGCCAACAGTTTGTCCCATAGTTCACAAGGAATATTCCAGTTTTGTCCAAGGTGACACAAATTGCGACAAATATGGCAGGCGCTAGCCACACGAATACTGAATATTTGACAAACCTCCGCCAAGATTTGTTGGCAATTCTTCCAGCGAAAGGCTGTGAGAAAACGTAGTAAGAATGATACGAGATGACGGACATTGCTAGGAACGATACATGAAAAATATAGTGTTCCAACATCGCCAGAACGTGACATGTTTTCGTCCCCGCAAAATGACTGGCCCCAATCAACCATACGAGCTGTGACAGCAACGTTGACAAGCTTAAGTTCATTAAATTCATTCCTGGAACTGTCCTTAATTCTTGGAATAATCCATAAGTTATCAAAAGTAACATTAAGCAAATAATCGAAACAGTGAAACCAATTAATGTCAGAATACGTAGCGCGTAACTTGTCGAGCTTGTACTGTAGTTTATTTCAGTTGTGTTCAAGGTGGTTTTAAACGGTAAACAAACGGAAATAGTTGAATTACTTGATAAAGTAGAATTCTGAGTTGTATAAGGAATGTTGCCAGTCCCTTTTTTCCCACTTATTAGATACTCGCCAAAATTGAAAACACTCTCAGTTACAATGTGATAAACCGTCATATTAGGGAAAATCACGTACTCTTCTGAATTTAATGGCACAAATGCACCTTCGCGACAGTGTGAAAGTCGTAACGAAGTCACTTTGATCACAGAGAAATATTTTTCTTTCCAAGATAGGGTAAAGTTTCCTGTAAAGTTTAAAAGTTCCAAAAAGGCAGTGTTTTGGTTTGTAACGTTAACGATCGACCTGTGTTGGTTATCCATTAATAAGCTTTGAAATGACGTCAATGTTAAATAAAATGTTGCAACGACTGAAAGACTAAACCAACCCGATACATCATAGCTTTGCGTGTGGAATGTAATTTCTGAAATTTGATTGTCTTGCAGCGAAAAGCGAGAAATTAACGCTGATATAAAATCATTTTGTACCTTTGAATCAATTATTGTCCATCCTCGAGACGGTTTGAACCATAATTGTATGTAAAACTTGTTGCTTATATTTATACTATGCAGGAAAGGCGTAATGTATTCTGGGCGACAGACCTTTAGGGTTGAATCATAAACCGTACCAGAGGGACAATAGTACAGGACTCGAGTAGTTTTTGGTATTCCACTTGCTTTTCTTAAGCTGAACACCATGAAAAATCCTTCAGGGAAACTACGCACCTCAACCTGCAACCACTTCCCAAAAGAATAGATCCATGCGCTGCTCCTCAAGCCATTACACATCGCACATGCGCTGTTCTTAAAGTAAAAAGTTCTCCCAACGACTTCAACAGGACCTTCAACACAAGCCTTGTATGATGAACTGTTTGTTAATATACAGTCGTCTCTATAATTTCTCCTTCCGTAACAATATCTTCGAGGTTGTCCCTTACTGGGTTCAACAGACCTAACTCTCCCCCCATTCTCCTCCAAAAATTTCAGCTTAGCATTCAGGTAGAAATCCTCTGGAGGTATGACGTTAGCATGATCTGTTAAAACGTTAACATTCCACGTAGTGTAATTTTTCACGCCATTACACGAAGCACAATACTCGTTCCGATACGTCAGGGAATTCGCTCCTACAACCGGGATATAGTCCTCAACGGGGTACGAGAGTTTCGATGAGGCATTTTCACATCGTGTTCTCAGCTCGTCAGAAGGCCATTCTGCTGCACATTTGGTAATCATCCAAACTCCATTCACTCCTGAAATCGAATCACTCTGCCAATACCTCATATCAAACTCGACGCATTTCCACAAGGTTGTTTTAGTTTCGAGCAATTCCTGTTGGCCACATTGCTTTTCGTAATCAGGGCAGCAATCAGAGAAAATTTTATAGCAAGCTTCGTCACAGTAACAATCGAAGTGGGTTTTATATTCCGTGTTATTGCCGGTACATTGAGAGTCATTACAGTTGCCAGTAAACGGCCTACCCCAAATGTGCACGCCAAAAGTTCTTTGGCGGTAAAACCATTTCCCTCGCCGGTTATGCGGTGTTGAGTCACAATATACGAATACACATGTTACCAAAAAGAGTAAACCCAGAAAACGTTTACACAAGATCGCTTTTGGTAGATTCATATTGGCTATATATCATGCTTTCTTTCATGAGCTTTTACTCTGAATGCATGCAAGCCAAAATAATGTGATCGAACACGGTTATGAATCAGTTAAATAGGGGAAAGGTATGAGGAAAGAGTGGGCAATGGCAGACGGGTTTTAGATAGCCTGCGTAGGTTTTGGAATGTAGTAGTTGTCCTTCCTTTCCGCGGGTTTAGATTTCCGGGCATGCGAAAGGAAAGGAGGGACTGCCGACAACACATCAAGAAATGAAATCCGCGTTGCCCACACAACGCAAAATTCCCATTGGTCGAAATCAATATGCCTGTCAATCAAATCTGATATGTAATAAATATATATTTCGAGACTGAATGTTGATTTTATAAAGAAACATGACATTAACGGTTCCTATTGGATTGATTTAATTGGATATAAGTAATGTTTATGCAAAGGCGGAGCCAGATATATAGTCCTTTCCGCGGGCGGGGTTGACTGTCATAAGTGGAGTATATTAGCATTTATAATAAAGCATTTGTAAATTCTGAACGTTGATTGGCTAAGAGCCGTGTTGATATAACTTAATGTCAACATGGAGAATTTCTTTCTTTATATTTCTTTGTGCTATATTATAAAAAAATATAAAACATTTTTTCGCATTGATATACAGTTATATCAACACTCGTGGAAATTGAGAAAACTCGAACTGTATATCAACACGGAAAATGTTTTATATTTATTTAATATATATAACCGTCCAATATCGAGGTCTGGTGTGTCAACGACTTTGGCATGTGTAAGCTACAGTGCGGCGCCTTGGAGCATGCGCAAAACAAGTAAAGGAATATCATTTTTGAAACAAATAGCAAGGCTTTTAATTCCGAACACACTAACTGACGAACAAACTACGCAACGAATATAAAGCGATGGCTAACTTCGTTTTGCACCGCAATCAGGCTTATCTGAAACAAGTGGGTGAATGCAAAAGGCGGAAACACGTGCGGGATGTCTTGCGGAATGGCATGCAAACGCATATTTTCAAATTCAAGTTCCTCTAATTAAAAACACAATACAAGGAAGTCAGTCAGGGTGCGATAATTCGCGTAGTTGCGTACCGGAGGTACGCCAATATTACGGTCTGGTATACGTCTTTGTTTTCAGTCACGTACCACTTACTACATTATTTTCAGTCACGTACCACTTACTATACTTTGTTTTCAGTCAAGTACCACTTATACACCACTTGGCCCCACCCCCTGGGAGGCGATATTCCTAGGATATTCGCCCCCGGGGGCGATATTCCTAGGGGGGGGGGGGGCGACCTTTTAAAAATTCTATCTTGCCCCCCCAAAATTTGAGTTTGCCCCTCAAATGCCCCCCCCCCCCAAATTTGGAAGCCTGGCGCCGCCACTGTTAATATGGCTAACACTGTTTTTTATCTCATTAATACTGTTAATGAGATCAAAAACTACCAATCCAACATGGAGGACAACTCATTGTTTTCAGTAGAAATATTTCAGGAAATAAGTAAGACATGAAAAATCGGTAAAAGAGTTTTACGTTTAATTTTAAAAGTTCTATCAAATTATTCAAACTTAATTTTTACTGTTATATCCCTTTAAACAGCAGTGACTTTTACAATAGTGGGTTCTCAAATTCACAGAAACATACCTTGCTATCCTGTGATAAAGACAGTAGCTTTGCAAGCAGCCTGTAGCATTCCTTCTTCCCATCAAATATGGCGTCTTCTAAAAAAGTCAAAAATTAGGAAACAATTACCATTTCTCACGAAGGCCAAAATCCGCCATTTTTGGGGTACTGTCTGCCTTCGTGAAAGATTCTAAACAATTCAAACAACGTGAAAAGCGACTTTTAAAAGTTGTAACTGTAAATTTACCATTACACAAACAACTATAATACTAAATAGTCGCATTTCGATCGTGGTGGGGAGACTCTCAAACGTGGGAGAGGCAGTACCCCCAAAATGGCGGGAAAATCGGCCGCGAGAAAGGCTAATTATGCGACATCTTTGATTTGCTTGTTCTTGAAACAAAGCATTTGTTCTATCCACAAATAATATGAAATCATTTCATGGTCCAAGCGGTACATTGCATTTATCTGAAGTCACGTGACCACAAATCAGCCAATCACGTTTGGTGTTCACCCTAGCTAAATAACAATTATCACTTATTTACTGAGACCGAGGGAAACAGTGTGTTTTGTGGACCCGAGACCGTCGATGTTCCCGAGGCGAAGTCGAGGATTTGCTTATTGTTAGTCTAAGTAAACTAAGGGAGTAAGATTTAGCATATTAAATGAGCTTCGGTTCTGTATGTAATCTAATGTAACTGGACTTCCCATTTCGTGTCGAGGCGAAGCCGAGGGAAACATCGACGGTCGAGGGTCCACAAAACACACTGCTTTCCCGAGGTCTCAGTAAATAAGTGTTTTATTATATATCAATAGGCAAAGAAACAACAAATTAAAGAACAAATGAACGTAAATACATGAAATATTTTATTGTTAAAACGTTAAATTAAACACTGCAGTTACTTAAAGCGAAAGTTTAAATTACTAGGCATGTCCAAAGGTCGCATCTTCACGTGATGGCGCCCGTGATTTTTTTCGTTATTCGCCGGTCGATAACGTATTGTTTCCCTCTCTCGCGCTGTTGCGAGGGAAACAGCCTCATTTCGTCACTCTCACGTGATATGCTCTCAACCAATAAAACACTAGAAAAATGCGACTTTGACTATTGCTATATAATAATAGACGATACCGCCCACCCATGCATAAAGAGGGAGGGGCGTCACTGAATTCTTGGTTGGGGAGGCCATAGAACGAATGGTGTGGCCTTCGAACTCGCCAGATCTCAACTCAATCGAGCATCTTTGCGATCAACTCAAGTGCTCTGTCTGTTGTCGAATCATAGAATACAGCACTCTGGCTGACTTGGCTCAATTGTTACAGGAGGAATGGATGGCTATACCTCAACGGCGGGTGAGCAGACTCGTCAACGTATGAAGAGATGATGCCTGGAGGTGATCGAGAAGCCTGGTGGTTACATCCATTATTAATTGATTAAACAATGCCGTTGTGTAAAGTCATTCTTGTTAATTTTGCAATTGGGTATTTTTGTATGCAATCATTCTTTCAAGCTATAGAATGGCCCCATTCTTCACAAATTAAGCAACTACAGTACCATGGGTCTAAAACCTGCTTTCCATCTGGTAGTAACGGTCGTAAAGATTGAGTCACGACCTTTCTCAACAGCTGAAATACAACAGTTTAACACTGATAATAGGCAAAGTGATTATAAATGGAGAATAGTTATGATTTATATGTGGTTTACAAGTACAGTAAAACAATTATATATAATCTGGCCGTTGAGAAAGATCGTGACTCAATCTTTATGACAGTTACAACCATATGGAAACCAAGCTTAATTAGTGCTAGGTGTGATTATCAGGGACGCACTTGTTTAGTAGTTAATATGCTGATATATTTAGGGGGGATTTCTTTTTGTGTGGTGTGTAATAATATATAAAGATAACATCAAATGAAAATGTTTAGAAAGAAATTTCAACTAACCATCAAAAAGACCTCGATCAAAACACATAGTGACTGCCTTGATAAAAAACTTTGTTAGAGTATTTCCTCTGAAGTAGTCGCCAGGTTGCTCGTTAAGAAATTCTATGACATCTTTACACCATACTTGAACAAATCCAGCCAGTCGTGGATAGCTTTGAAACTGCAAAGAAATGCCATGTGGTTAATAACCATTCATTCATGAGTAATTAGAAACTATCTCCAAGTACATTCTGTACAGTACAGGATCTAGCCTCGTCTGCAAGGATGGGTGCAGGTTTTCCATACGGTGGTGCATGAGGGAACCTTACTGCCCCACTCTCTTCTGCAGTCTGCAACGCCACCATCCCAACATTACCATTATATGATACGGCCAAATCTGCATGCAAATCGCCGTTTTGTTATGTTTTACATTATCTTTTGTATATAAAGTTTATATCGGGCGGCTTTTTATCAGGTATGCGTGAATGGACAGTTGCTGTATAGCACAGAACAGTATATTTGAAAATATGGCTGTATAACAACCTAGACATGTTTACATATTTAACCATGATATTTAACTAAGCATTGTGAGTATTTTCTTGTGAGCCCACAAATCAATTAAATCGTTTCAAAAAATCGACACACGCTAACAGTAGAAGTTCCGATCAGATTCTTTAGGGTGGTGCTGGACTTCTCTACGGAGGTGCTGGACACCACTATACAGGCGTGCGCAACACCCGCCATGGTAGATCCGCCCCCTGGTGTCCAGTCATATACGACCAAAACGTGGGTTGATCCAACATATTGTCAGACCAAGTTTTCAGAATTATATTAAACTCTAACTCCGCATACTATACTAACAAATACTTAAAGTGTTCGCAAATTAAACATTGGCATGGTTTAACAACTCAGGACAGAACCTTCAATCTACTGTACCTTCATGTCACAAATAACATCTGTTGTAACTATCAAAGACTGAGCCACAGCAGAATTTGAAAGAAACTCCTTGCATGTCCCATTTAGTATTTGATGAACAATCTTGTAGCCGTCGTTAGTCTACCAATTAAAAACAAAGAAATCAGCATATACTGTAATTATGGTAATATTATACCACAGTTAAGCCGGTTACAGATAAACAGGTTTTCCATGTCAAGTTTTAATATGGCTAGTTTTATTTCTAATTGCATGTGTGCACATAATTACAGCAAATTTTGTTAATTTTCTATGACAAGTTCCTTGGTTTCTGACTGACTAGACTTTCCTAAAGTCCGTTTTCTTTTTTGAGGGTTTAGGAGGGGTCAAGGGGAACAGAGGGGAGGGAAAAACCAACTACACGCAAGTGCTCAAATTACTTCGCCAAATATTTTTTGTCATACTGTAGAAAACCTGCTGTTCCAATTTGTAACCAGCTTTACAGTTTACAGTTTTAAAGTACCTAGATGGAATATTTGAACGTAAATTTATATATTACATTTTTAGACAACCAGGACCCGACCTGCCAACCCTTGAGTAGCAGAAATAGTGAGTTGCTATCTAAAAAGTCGTGAGATTGACTGAAAAATCTTGAGACTTAGAAATTTTCAGGTTTGCTCATTAATATGACCAAGGTTAACTTTAACCACTAGAAAATAATCAATAGATATTCAATTTTATGATAGTATGCATTTATATTTTGTTAATATAACCGTAAAAGCAAGGCTTATTAAAAATAGGCTGTTTTTTCCTTTATGGCTTTAGTTAATTAAGCTTCCACTGTACAAAAACAAGAAAACTACGAGTAATATTAGGACTAGCAGGACAATAAACTTAGCAGGACACACCTTTTACTTTGTAACAAGACATCACGCATACAAAATTCTGGTGTTGTACATTGCGCATTATTAATACACTAATAAAGTGTGATGTTTCCTTGGAAGAGTGTGCCTTTTTGTACTGAACTAGATGTTGCGCTCTTTGATGATTTCATAAGTTCCGAAAATCGTGAAATAATATTAATTGTGAGATAGCATAAAAAATCGTGAGTCTCAAGAACAAATCATGAGACTTGGCAGGTCTGCAAACAGATTTACTACATTTAAAAATAAACTAAATAAGAAGAGAACAGTTACTATATACTGTAGCAGTGCAATAAAGATATTTTCACATACCGAGCAATTTGTTAACAATAATTCCTTGGCCACATCTTTTACGTCGTGGCATTCCACACGGCTACTTTCCTCCATCTTGTGCAATTTCGCATGAACAGGAAACGTGAGTAACACAAACAGAACACACAAGCTAGATTCATCAAACTTTCTATATTCAAGAATTGAAGCGAAATCAACTTCACTACAGAGTACAAGCAGGCCCCGAAAAAAATTTGGAAGGTCCAGCGGCTTATTAAATTTACCGGCTTATTAAATTTACCGGCTATTTTAAGTGTACTTGTATACTGTAGGTATGATTACAGATATCAGAATTTGGGCATCTCACTCCATAAAGCCTGGTTCACATATGCCTGCGGTATGCCTGCGACTGTATCATGATGCCTCTACTTGCCGCCGAAATACCGGCAAAGTTGAGCTCAAGTCAACTTTCCCGGCCTACCGCCGATGTAACTGAGGCACTGGAGGCAATCGTCGAACAAATGTTCACATAATTTACATTTTAATTAAAGCTACCACCGTATCGTTGCCGGTACGTCGCCGGTACGTCGCAGGCATATATGTGAACCAGGCTTAATAGAGCTGTGCAAACTCCGGTTATTTTACCTCCGGAAGTCAAAACTCCGGCTCCTGCTCCAGCAAGGAAATTTTAAGGAAATTTCATATTTAAAAGTAAAAGCAGGCAAAATTATTTCGGTGTAATTTCAGAATTTATTTTATTCCTTTTTGAGCTTTCTCCTATACATACTGTATCAAATATACATGCTTTGGTGATTGTTTTTAAATTAAACAATGTTTTGTAGAAAGTAAAACCGCATGGCAGCGTGGTATTTTCGCCCAAAATACATCAGGGTCAGCGGATTTTTGTATCAAAAGTGATACCAGCAATGCGCTTGGAGAATTTTGGAAGCGACGAATCGGATCGTGGTAAGTAAAGTAATTAAATTTGACAGTAACTCCAAATCATTCAACTTAATTTTTCCATTAACAAAAGTGCATTGCAATATGAAATATTTTTTCATAATTTTGTCTGCTGGAGTTTTTGCCGGAGTTTTCCAAAAAAATTTTCCCGGAAAAAAAAATGCCGGAGCTCTGGCTCCTCCTGCTCCGGCGCACAGCCCTACTCCATAACAGGAGTATTTGGATAATTTATATACATTATATACAGTAGCTAATTGTTGAAGAGATTTTGTAGATGGAAATTCTGAGTGGAATTTTTATACATTTATTAGAACTACCGTAACCAAGAGCAGTTGCAAAAAATGCGACTATCGGCCCTCTGGCAGAAACTGAAACTGCAGCCCTGCACTGGAGTCGCAATATTTAGTATTTTGACAGTGACAAACAAAACAATTATTTCCCATACAGTAGCATATCTGAGTCGCAAAGTTTTAATGATAATTTGAGTCATGAGGATAGGCTTAGGCAATAAATTTATCAAACAACAACACAATTAATTAAATAATAACTCACAGAGACTGTCCAGCATGAAACACTCCTTGGATGAGTTGAAATGAATGAAACACAAATAATCTTTTGTAAAGAATCAGGATAAACTCAAACATGGCATGAAACAAATCTTGTTTGTCTTGAAGGTTGAGTAAGAGCATCCAGTTGATTTGCCATGTACTACACAATATACAGAATAAAATGTCATGCTAGTCTGTCTAGGTTTAGATTATTGATACCTGCCTGTAGACCCACCCATTGACAAATTCACAGGAAAAAAAAATTAAAAACCCATGAATGGAAAAAGTCATTTCTATAATGGTATATTGATAATTCCCATCTAAAAAATCATTAACATTAATAATTAATGTTAAAAAAGCTATAATTACAACCCATTAATGGTTTATTCTTTTCAAAATGTATTCCCATTAAAACCATTCAAATTGTTGAAACACAGTCAATGTTGGATTTTTTCTTCAAACTGTCAGAATTTTGATTCACAATAATCATACCATTAATGGGTTCCATTTAAATACTAGGGTTGCCAGATTGGTGAATAAATAAGCCAAACATTGTTATAAGCGGTACTTTGATTTCTTTGTTTCCAACAAAGAAAACAAAAGGTTATTATAATATTTGGCTTATTTATTCAGCAATCTAGCAGCCCTGTTAAATGCCACCAATTTTTTTCACATTTGAATATTTGATTGCTTTTCTAATTTATATTTTCATTATCAAATACTTGAAATGTTAGATGTTTCCAGCAAAAATTAAGAATTTGCTTTATTCAATCAGAGTATCAAATCAATTGATTCCAAAACTTAAATTAGTCTAAGACTGATAACAAAATTTCAATATAAGTTCTTTGTATGTTTGCATGGCGATAAAACATATAATAGTTTTGTTTGTGGATACACCACGTAAATTTATCACTATTATTATTACTGCAAATTAAAAAAAATTATTACTATTATTATACGTAAATTTATTACTATAAAATTATACTATTATAAAATTTCAATATGCAGTATACCTCAAACATTTAAGATATAAATTTAAATTTTTGCACCCCCCCCCCCTGTTGACCAAGGCCTTACCTTGTGTTATTTAGCATAGTAAACATGACATCGATCACTTTCCCACATTCATCCTTATTGATATAGTTCAACATTTTAAAACAAGATAACACAATTGCCGAGGGATGCAACATTTCTTGTGCGGTTTTTGCATCTTCTTCCATCAGTGATAACAAAAGTTGTGTGACGGACACTTGACGTGACATTGTTCTTGTTAACCCTGTTGGTAATTGTTCAACAACATGCTTCAAATGATAAATAATACATTTGTGACATGTTCTTAATTCTACCGAGAAAGTATCAGTCTTTGTTCTGAAGCAATCATGTTTTGCTGAACCTTGCAAACCATTTTCCATTTGGCTGCTATTATGTTTTTTACCCATACTTGAATTGTACAAAGAGACTAAGTATTTTGCAACAAACTTTCTCGCAGAATCTGCAACAAAGATACTGCTATCAACCAAGCACTCCATGGCCTTTTGTAAAACACCTGCAAACAAACAGATACTATTAGAAACTTACAGTCAAACCGGATGTTCTCTTGCTAGCAACATTGCAATATTGTCTCACAATATTGCAATTTTGATAGGCAGATTGCTTTAACCATTTTTCAACCGATGCAAACAAAATTCCAAGTTAAAATTCACAAACGATTTGTACACAAAGCCTCTGACTGGATTATAAGAAAGAGGGAAGCCAATCAAATCGTCTGAGCAACTGGATTGGTGCTTCTGCAATCTCCCAGAACTGGCCACATGATTTGTCATTATTACTAACTTGTTTCCATCATTTGACTTTTACGATTAATTTTAAGGATAACGAAAATCCACCGTTTTCGAATAATCTATCGTTCATGAAATACATATTTACAATATAATATGAAAAAAATCGAAACAAAATTGTTGAAAATTTTATGAAAGAGCGTAAATTGTTGTTTTTGTTTGTTTTTATTACAGTCGGAAAATGTGGCTGAAAATGTTGTTTTTACTACAGTCAGAAAATGTGGCTTAAAACATGTATCTATTTCATGGAATAATGAGTTGTGTCAGATTCTTTCAGACACCATAATGGATAATGGACCACTCGCCTGTGTGCAATTTGAAATAAGGACTAGACAGGAAACTAAAGTCTACTTTGGAGTGGCCTAATATTTGAATTTTTCATTACCTTTGTTCCATATTTTACTTTATGTTTAATTAAAACAAGTTAAACTGCATGAAAACATGTATGGAACGAGTGCCCACCCAATCCAGGACAAGAATATTTGTTAACAGTCCTAATGGCTAATAACGTACCACTGGAGGCTGTTCCATTTACCAGTATTATTTATTAACCATATTGAACTACAACTATAGCCAATCATTTATATTGGGTCGTTCCAGAAAAGATCCACACTCCCCCCACGGAGGAAATTTCTGCCGTCTGGAGGGGGAGGGGAGACAAAATTGTTTCTGATAATAGTAAATGTATTAGGACATCCGAAGGGGGTAGGGGGGTTAACTTCCAATTTCCTCCGTGGGGGTGGTATGGATGTTTTCTGGAATTACCCATTTAATTTTAATAACAGTTTGTAAATATATCGGTAATATCAACAACAAAATTACCGATACCGATATTTCTATTCTAATGCAGACACCGATACACAGACTCGAAAATCAGGGTAGTCAGAACAGTCTTCTGTTCCATTCCATTAGCGCTCTGAAAATCCAGAGTACTCCGAACAATAAGGCCAAGTAAAAAAATTAGTAATCTCTTGTCTCCGCCCACCCGCATCCTTTTTCCCTGCCACATGGATTTTTCTTTTTTTTATGTCTTTATATTCGAGCCTTTCAAAGAATTTCCACTTATATATTTCGGCCATTTTGCTCCTTTTGGCATAGTTTGCTTGTTTGGTCCTTCGCGCTGCTGTTCGCGCCATATTGTTATTTTGGCACCATATTGCATTAGTAGCTGTTTGTCTATTTTAATATATTTACGTTTTATGAGTAAATTTCAATATTTGTGTGTGTTTATAGGTTATTTGGTAAACTTTAAGAGCAATATTTGAAGGTTTAACAAAAAAAAGCACCCACGTTCTCTTTTTTTTCAAAATTTGGACGATAAACCAGGCACAGATTTTCTGGGGGATGCGCACCCCCAAATTTGCACCCCCCCCCAAAGGCATTTGGCACCCCCGCAAATTACATATATTTTGATTTGATAGTTTCATATTTGATTATTCTTACTACCAAATTTGTAAAATTACCAATATTATGGTCTCAGATCTCACCATGCAGGCCTAGAAAACAAATTTTGTTAAACTTTTTCCTTGGCCTTTCCGGGCATTGCCACCACGCCCCTGCCAAAGCAAGCAGCAGCACCCCCCAAACAAAAATATGAAAATCCGTCTCTGCGATAAACTACTGATTTTTGTTACTTGGCCTAAATGGGAAGCTTGTATGGGCAGGGCTAACACTAAATATGTCTACCTGAATTCTGTATCCATAGAAAACCATCACTGCTCTTCAAAATCCCCAAAGCTGCTTTAAAATACGAATCTCTCACACCAGGATCTGCCCAGAGCTTTTCTTTCGTTAATATTTCATGAAATAAATACTCCAGTATGTTGTTTACACCACAAATTACGTGAAATCCTTCACTAGAATTGCACATGATCCCTGATAGCCTCAATGCAAAGCTGACTGTAGCTTCACCACATTCCACCTCAACGTTTTCGACTCGACCAAAAAACCTCAGAATTGTAGCTTCTAGAACACTTTCGTTTTCCTTCGGATTATTATAAATAAACTCGAGTATTTCCAACAACTTTTCCAAGCTTGTATCGTCAACAATTTTGTCCACATTGAACAAAATCAAGTCAAAAACTTCGACTAGCGACTCTTGCACAATGCCGTCGGTCGCCATATTGGGTTATAGATTTAAAAATCCACCCCCACCCCCCCTGTCAAGGACCTCTGCTTTTAGGGATTTTCCATTTTCCCCTCTGGAATGCAAAAAAATCTGTTGAAATAATTTTTGCATTTTAACTCCTCTGGAAAAAGCATTATTCTTTCATTTACCATTTTACCAATATCCATTTGGAAAAATTGACTAATTCGGCCCCCTTGAAATCGAGGTTCTCGACAGGGGCATAGAGTATAAAAAGGTTGTCCCATGGTCGCCATCTTCCTAGCAAGTATCGCTGGCGTGATAATTCGTCATTTGGCGTGATAATTCGTCATTTGGCAATACGTCATTGCTTTCAAGAGAGCTTTCAATACCTTTAATACAACTTTAATTGCTTTCAACAACTTTAAACATTCAACAAATGATGCTATTGTTTAATCCATAAATTTCGATCCAAAAAAGCTGCAATAAAATGCAAAAGCTCGTGTTTTTCAGGACGCCATTTTGCTAGCAAACCGTAAGCATGTGTGGTGAATTGGAAAATGTTCAAAGGAGGGCAACTAAATTCATCTTGGCTTTACCTTTTGAAACTGACACTTGTTATAAATCAAGATTGTTGTCCTTAAACTTGTTACCACTGAGCTACTGGCACGAATATATGGACGTTCTCCTTTTATTCAAACTTACACGTGGATTTATTTCATCTGACCTCAATATCCTCCCAGAACAAAACAACAAATTAAGGATGAACCTACGGTCACAAAATACCACCCTCGTGACATATCATATACCAAAAACTAAGACACTCTGCTATCAGAACAGTTATGCTGTTAGAGCTTCACGGATATGGAACACTCTTCCCGATGAATTACGTCTACCAGAGATTTCATACCATCGATTTAAATCCCTCCTTTCCCAATATTACCTTACTGCCACCAAGACCACCTTCGACAAAGATCACCCCAAGTCATGGAAAACAATATGTCCCAAGTGCCATCTAGCAAGATCATTAAAAACGTTCAAGAACTGTTGTTTCTAGGACTAGCCTTGATGGCTAATGTGGACTTTGAACTGTAATTATATGTAAATAGATAGATGTGTTGTGTACGTTTCAAGTTCGAGTGGATGTATTGTTAGTACTGTCTGTAGAACCAGGGCATCAACGTAATTGGCTGACGCTGTGATGATGTACCTGCGCCGTTGTCGTTGTATAAATTTTTGGCGGCAAAGTTTATAAATAAATAAATAAATAAATAAATAGCAAGTGTCATGGTCATGGCGTGAGCATGACGTGTACATCTAGGGCATAGATTATAGATCATACCAGATGTCTCACTGTGTATCTATCTCTATGATTTTCGTGTCCGCGATTTTCGCAAGGCTATCACGCCAGATGACGTGTGCGACACTTACTGCCAAAATGGCGCTTAAGCCTGGTTTCCATTAAATCGTAATTATCGCAAGAACCGCATCGCAAGCGTCGCAACGATTTTAAAAACGCGAAAATTTTAATAAAAACTGCGATTTATTGGAAACTTGAGTCACACCGATCACTACGACTCCTACGACAAAGTCGCAAAGATAGACTTATGGCGATTTTTGCGATAGCGATGTCTGCGTTCCGCGACTATTGCGATGATTACGATTTAATGGAAACCAGGCTTAACTGCCAAAAAGCGTGATTGCTCACGTTTCATGGCGTGGATTACACTTACTGCCAAAATGGCGGCCAATTCGTGCTCATAAAAAATCGCGGACACAATTTTGGCTGAGTGAGACATCTGGTATGATCTATAATCTATGTCTAGGGTATATACTTCATCTGTGACAGGTAATTAAACGCACCGGAGTGTTCTGGGACTAGACGATTATTGTCACGTTGTTTACATGTTTGTTTCCGTTTGTTTATGATGTCTTCGACACTTGACCAAGTTCAAAATGTTGATATAGACAGCAAAGGTCGATTTAAATATATTTTAGTGAAGATAAAAGATGGCAGTCATCATAAATACATTGTACGAGGATATGGCAGAGCAGGATTTCATGGTATGTGCTAGTTGCCAGAGTCTGGTCAGCCAGACTGCTATTAAAATGTCACCTGTTGCAATTTGCCCCATTAATTAAACAGGGCCTCAATATATTAAATATTCGAAATATCAGAATTATACGTATAATAAGCCTTCACTCCAAACATCGTTTTCAACCCATTGAATGTCAGCGCTCTCCAATTGATGAGTAAAATCATCTGCCATTAATGGACTGAGTAGAATAATAAGTAGGGCACAATGTAACTTAATGGGTTAACTAGACACAGGCAGATAGTTTGATTATATAACCCATTGAGCACTGGTTAATTGAGCACCGGCGCTCTCCCCTTGACGATTAAAATTGTCTGGCATAACATTAGACCATAGCCTATCGAAGGGAAGATGGCTGTGAAACTCATTAGAATAACAATATAACTCATTATGTTAGTCAACGTTTATTCATAAATCTGGTCGTTTCACTGTCATGTGTGTATTGTATTTTTACCAAATCTACCAATAGCAATTTCCAGTTTCCCTATTGTTTGAGTGACAGATAGGTGACTTTCTTAAAACATTGCTATTGGTTAGTTGGGCAAGAATACAATACACATGTGACGGTGAAGGACCAGATTTAGGCCACTATTTGTTGCATATTAGTTTCTCATCCGGGGCTTCACCTAAAGTTGATGCGGGCGGGCGGGCCATTACCATTATGCCATTATTTATAGCATTGCAAAACAGCACAAAATTAGTGAATGCAACTGAAACCATGTTTTCATATTAAAAACATGACCGCTCCACAGCCCGAGCGCGGGTAAAAGACCCTGGCTTGCGAGGTTGCATGACCACATGTGAAATAATCGCAGAATAGAGAAATAATTTTGTAGCCAAGTCGTCTCGCGTTTTTTCCCTGCTCCTGGCTTCCGGTAGAACTTTTACGTAAATGCGAGAGAAACTGGCAGTTTTGGTATGAAATTTCGTATCTTAACTGAAACTTTTGGTTTGGGAACGTTTCTAATTGTCTTTCTTTCAAATATCATTTTGAAGACATCACAAAATTTATAATAATGGTCAAAAATGGCAATCATGGTAATAATGGCGAACATTAGACCATTTTCTTAAAAAGCATGCGGGCGGGATGAGAAACTAATATACAACAAATAGTGGCCTTATGAATAAACGTTGACCAACATAGATAACGAGTTATATTGTTATTCTAATGAGTTTCAAAGCCATCTTCCCTTCGATAGGCTATGATTATACAGAGCGAAATAATAAATAGGGGTGGCTTTTCACTGCTAGTTCCAACATAGAACCTTACTGATACTACCTACACTGGACCCCATGTTTGAGATATCTTTTTCAGGTTGTTCTGATACAAACCTCTGCAGTAGATTATTGTACTGCAGAATACTGCCTACGGACGTCGATTTTTAAGACAACTCTGTTAGGACAGGTTTAACCCATTCCTGCATTGCACCATAATGCACCCTACTTTATTCTTTCTAATGCCAGACAATTTCACTTGTCAAGGGGACAGCTTCGGCATTCTATGGGTTAATCAGACTATTAAGCTGCATTGCACCCTACACTCTACTGTTTTATCCTGTCTAATGCCATGCAGTTTTACCTGTCAAGGTGGTAGCAGCACTGGCATTCAATAGGTTTCATGATAATAATGCCTAACAGGTTATACCTAGCAGAGTAACAATGTGAGAACCACATTAAATACTAACTTGCAATTATTCCATTTTTTAAATTAACAACAGCTGATATTTATGATGAAATATTACCAGAGCTACAACGTCTTGGCTTACATTCAGACTGTGTTGGAGGCGGCCGCATAGAACACAATAGTGACATCGGAACGATTCTTGTATATGGATATTCTATTGTGAGTACTTTTACATCATTCCACTTTTTAAGTTCTAGTATTACTCCACTAGGCTTCTTCATGACGAGTAAAATCATCTGGTGTTAGAGAGTTTAAATAATAATGACAAAGTAGAGTCCATTGGGGTGCAATGCAATCTAATGGGTTTACTATGGGCAGTACTATGGTCAACGTGGTTGTTTGCAATTCATGATCCCTTTCAGAGAGGTTGTAAATGCAGTGATATACAATTGACATTTGGTTGAGATGCAACATTGGTGTCTGCTTACAAGAGGTGTCCGTTTATGAGAGGTGTCCCGTGTCCGCTTATGAGAGGTGTCCGCTTACAAGAGGTGTCCACTTACAGGGGGTGTTGTGAATTGAGTTTTGACTGCATTTCTTTCTTTAACAACTACTGCAACAACTTAACCCACTGAAATGCAAGACTCTTCTTCCTTGACAAGTAAAATCACCTGGTGTTAGACAGAGTAAAATGATCAAGTAGGCTGCATTTGGTCACATTGCAACTTAGTGAGTTAATTTAATCAAAGTTACTTTCACTGCGTAATTTTCTGTGTTTCTTAAATTTCAGGGTTTTGGCCGAGCTGATCATTCAATCTCAACAGAAATTCTTAAGAACTATTTTCCAGCATATAAATCTATAACATTTTCTAATGAGGGCTATTAGACTGTGGAATAACTACAAAATGTAATATTAATTTGTTAAAATTAGTGTAAAATACTAAAATACATGGAATAAATGTAAGTTTATATTCATTTGTGACAACAAAATTGCATTGCTGTACAAAACCTCACACAACATCAGCAGGGTTCGAATTAGTTGAGGAAAAATGATGTGCAACTTTTTTTTTAAAAATGTGGCTCTAAATTTTTATAAAATAGGTTCATGATCATTGTCTTACAGCTAGCTACTCAGTCAAACATCTACTCAATCAAACTGCGATAATTCAATGATTTGAATACTTTTTAAACATTGTTTGCCATCTCTGATATACAAACCTAACACATAACATTAATCAGTCTTGTGACTGTCATGGTGGCTAAAATTTGACACCTTCTAGACACCTTCCAGTCTGCAAACGGACATGCAAGTGTGCATGCAAAAGCACTAGTCTTGTTAACTTGTTTATAAATTATAAGACAACAGCTAGATTGACTTTGAGTCTATAAATGTGGATGGATGATCGTTTAGAAAAGTGATATGCAATTTTCACCATTTGGTCCAAAACGATGTGCAAATTGCACATTGCACACTTATCTGTTAATTCGAACCCTCACATGTACTGTATATATCGCTACTCTACATACATCACTGTAGTATGTTGTAATATTTCCTAAGCTGCATTAATTATTTCACATTACTTAAAACTTCACACAACACATATACTGTACAACATACATTGACTGTGAGTCATAAAACGCTGCCATTTTATTGCTGAGTATCTGATTTAGCTTGTTTAACAGGTGGTTCTTCTTTTGTCTTGTTGTCTTGTCTTCCTCTTTTCATATTGCCACGATATGGCTTCTTTCCTCCTGTAATATACAGACATGTTATAAAACACAACACTGACACATTACATATTTACATGTGAATTATTATGCAGTATAAAACATTACATTATTGTTCAATTAAAGCACAGTTCACAAGTTTGTTGCTCAGTTACGTTTCTAAATCTTCAGAAATACATTTAATTTGTTGGCTATATTAGTAAAACACTGCAAATTACAAATTTATGTTCAGTACAATGGTACTTTAGTAGGGGGAGGCACAAGAACACTGATCACTTGATGAAATGAATGTGCCATTTAAGTTCTATCACTGTAAACATCACTGTATTTTAGCTTATCAAGCTACTTAGTGAATGTAATAAACCATTATTATTATTATTATTTGACTGACATTAGATACTTTTTCTAAGATAATCAATTAACCATACTGATTGACGCTGTTGTTTAATGTACAGTTATAACTATCCATTCTAATGGTTTAAAATTTTTTATCGAATAGAGCTGCAAAGAATCCTAGGCAGAACAAAATGGATTGTATAAAATACATATGTTGTGGCATCCTTTGAATGCATCGGACAGAATCAGATGTTGCTTGCAACATGTGTATAGCTAACTTAAACTTAAGTTATATTTAATAGTCATCATTAAATATGACAATTACGCTATAAAACAATGCTTGTGAATTGTGATATTTGATACCAGAGTTTTATAGGTCTTTCAAAACTATTGGCGGACGTCCCCCCTGCCCCCTCCCCCAGTGTTCGCCACTACTGGTAATCACGTTTTGAAAAGTATAACCTGAAATTGACAATAATGCAAAATAACATAAAACAACAGAACAAATTTCAGACCTTTTTTATTTTTATGAAAATTTTCCATGTCTTCCCTTGTCTTTTTCCAATAATCCTTTTCCTCATCCCCTTAACATTTAAAAAAATCATATTCTATATTAATACCAAGAAAAATTATAGAAAGAACATCTTCAATACAGGGTGTTAGCCAGGATTTCAAAAGTGGCCGTCCAAAATAATTTTGTGGGCGTGGGCGCGTGGCAACATATTTTTGTCAGCTTGGTTACATGTTTTGGGTGTGGCCGCAATTTTCTGTTGTTGAGGAATTGTGGTGTTTTATTCGTTAAACTTTTTTACTTTTAGATGCACATTTCCGTCATTAAATTAGTAAAAGCACACGTATGGTACGATCACTACCGTAACTGTAGCCTGCGCGGCAGGCGGTATTTCTACAGGCAGCGAAAATTAGGGAGGCCTGCCATGCAGGCTACCGTAACTGTAACGTGGCGCTCGAGCGATAAAACGATTGCTGTCAAACAGCGGTTTCACATTATTCTCCCTGATACTTCATGCGAGAATCATCAAAATAGTTACAAAAAACATGGCGCGTTTTACAAAAATATGGCGCGAAGTATTCAAGAAATGTTACAAAGCTTGTAGGTTGCTATTTAAAGAAAATATTCTCTTAGGCCGTCCATTAAAATTTAGCCGTCCAAATTCAAAAGTGGCCGTCCATAGGACGGTCGGACGGCCGCCTGGCTAACACCCTGCTTCAATAAAATATATTGTAATAAAACACCCTACAATACACAAACAATTTCTGTATTAATGTACCTTCAATCACACGTAATGTTGTTTCTTCACCACGCAATTTCAGTTTATTATCATTTTTCTCAAGCACAGCTTTCATTGATTTCTCTGCACCACCGTCATTCGTAAAACGAACAAACCCCTAAAATATTCCAACGTTAATGCACAAGACCAGGGCAGAAAAAAATTTCCTGCAGACTAACAGAGTGTTTTTGTGCTCGACCTGCATCTGCACAAACACATACTGTAGTGTTCCAGCTGACCAAATATGTTGTTGCAGCCATAGTGGGACAAGGGTGTTAAAGTTTCTTTCACATTTTCAATAGCAAATCTTCATTCAAACAAATTTCCTGCAGCTGTTTAACATTTCCTGCGAGCAGTGCTCGCCTATTCCCTTGATGGGCAAAAATTGTCTAGCATTATACAGGCTAGGAATGTTCGGTATGAGAAATTTCCGGTATCGGTATACCGAAAAAATTATACCGATATTATCGGTATACCGGTTTTCCTGAAGGAAATTTTGAGTAAATCTAAAAGGGAAAACGATCATTTCGAAGCTGTTTCGAACATGTTTCGAACGATACATACTCAGTGTAAAATCTCACTGAAGTGGAAATTCTAAATCATTGCGCTGGAGAGTTATTTGAATTGCCATTCAGTAGTAAAATAAAGGTTATGGTTTCACCATATAGTTGGTAAATTTAACACGGTATATCGAAAAATTCCGGTATATCGGAAATTTCGGTACATCGGTATGGTTGAATATCCGGTATCGATATTTAATACCGATATTTTCGGTATATCGGTACACCGAACAGTCCTAATACAGGCTAAAATAATAAAGTCAGGTGTATTTGGGCACATTGCGGGTTTAATGGTACTGTATAACAAGGAATATAACAAGACACAGCTTGATTGAAGATGTTTACCTCCAAAAATATAATATACAGGCAGGCCTCGAATTTCCCTGAAATCAATCGACGGCAATGGCATTAAAAATTGCCGTAGAACGTAACAGCTGTCTACGGCAATTTTGGCAGTTTCCACGGCATTTTTTCAAATTAATAAAAAGTTAAGTTTATTGTTACTTTGGGTTGTTGACAAGCTAGAAACATGTTTATGTATTTCAGTGTTTATTTATTTTAGTGGGTTTTTTTTAAGAAAACTGAGACTAAAATAGTAATTTATGCATGATTTAATCAGCATCTGAATTCAAGTATCAAAATAGTAATGCACAGTGAATAGTATAAAAAAACCCTGTATACAAGTATGCTACACTGTACAATACCTCTTTATCGCCTTTGCTGAAGGTGACCCATTTCACTGTACAGCCTTCAACACCAAAGATTTCCTGGTTTGAGAAAGTGTTTATATGTTAGCATGTACGTACCATACCGTATTACCTTCAACATTTTGTCATTGTTTGTGAACATATTAAAAATCAAGACTGTACAGTACCTTGATGTCCTCGCGTGAAGTTTGATCTCCTGCTCCACTGAAATGAATAACACGTCCTTTTGGATATTCATCACCCTATGGGAAATTTTTAAAAATTATTTTGATTCATCTTTAATACCATCTACTACGACGACAATTAACATTTCTACATAAGCCCGAACTTACCATACATGCAGACATGATCAGTTGTGCTTTACATCAAGTATTACCCTCACCCAATCGCTTACCTAATTATTACTTTACTTACCCTAGACTATTTTATATTTACAACAATTGTGATACCACTTTTCTTAACGGTGTTTATCCTAACCCACCCTGTCAACTTCTCCTGTGAGAGGAAACCACAGCACCTGGAGAAAACCCATTACTTTCGGCAGAGCCACAGAGTAGAGACATACAGAGCTGTAACTGACCGTCGTAAACACTGCAGAAGCTTACGTTTTCATGTACCCACTTTTTTTCAGGTGACCGGGCAAAAAAGATCAACTGCGCATGCTCAGAAAGTTTAATTAAAGTGAGTCGTCATCAGGTCGTCATCCAATCAGATGCATGCATCTAGTAACTTGCCGAGCATGCGCACAAAATAAAAGTGGGTACACTAGTTACAACTCTGTATGTCTCTCCTCTGTGGCAGAGCGTTGATTGACTCTGAGGTGAAAAGAGCTCGCTGTGACGACTACACCACTGAAGCTTGCCAATTACGTTTCGATCCTTGTAGTTTTTCAATTCCATGAAAGACACCTCATGTACAGATATTTTATATTTAAATGGCTCAGACTATTACTAATGCAAACCACAGGGCTCGAAGTAGAGAAAAAATATGGCCTGCCAGTCTAAAATGTTTTGGCAAGTGAACTGCCAAAATGGAGATGTCTCATATGAGTCACATTGTAAAAATCAATGTTTTCATGCATTTTTAGTATTTTTAATTAAACTTGTCTATTTTACTACAGTACACTTGGATTTACATTTCAAATATAAATGTGCTTAGTCGACTAAATGATCTTGTATATATGAGTTGTGGTAAGCAAATGAAATGAAACTATACATCTATAGAATTTCACCTGCCATTTTTTTTTAACTTTGGCAGTTCAAATTTGTTTTTACCTGCCATTTCTAAAATATGGCCTGCTTTTGGCCATTGGCAGCCCGCTATTTCGAGCCCTGCAAACCAGTATCCACAAGTGGGATACTTTCTTTGGAAGGAGGATACCGAAAAACAATTTTAAATTTAAAGACCTGCATAATCATAATATTTCATCCTGGCATTCATTATTACCTTTTGCGACTCTTTTTTAACTGCTGTTTTATCTTCATCAGTTCTAAGGATCAGGTAAAAAACTTAAATAGAGTTGTTCACAGTTGAATTATCTAAATTAGAGTAAACCCAAAATATTCTCTGGTTTTGGTTTCAAATTAAAGTACTGTAGATAATGTACAGGCCGGAAATACAGCTTTTCAATTTTTTTTGGCTTGACATTAGTCATCAATGGCTACGAGTGTCAACACATAAACATTTCAAAAAGCAATAATTGTGACAACAGATTAGTGATTAAATGTCCCGAAAGCCGAAAGAGGTTTAGTAAAGTTACTGTACTAAACCTCTCGAGGCTCATTTCATCACTAATCAACCATAATGCCATGCTATCGCTTTGTAACATCATAGCTACAGTATACAACGACAATAAAACGGTTTCTGACAAATGAATCAACAATTACTAAATGTGTGTATTGACTATAAAAAAAGCCAGTCACAAATTAATATTGGAGGTCTTTTGCAAGGAGCAAATGTTCAGACTGTAAACATTAACATTGTGAATAAATTATATGAAGTGTGAGTTAACTGTTGACAACAGTATACAGTAATACATGTACATGCTTACGATGATGTGTTCATTCCACTGTTTCTATTCCCCCTTTTGCTTTTTAAGTACTCATCTCTACATAAAGGACAAAATACATAACATTTTAATAATTGAATGATGTGCCAGATGATTTGACGATCATCAAGGGGAGAGTGCTGCCACTCAATGCCAATGGGTTAATCAGACTATCTGTAATTAGGTTAAATTCATTTATTCACAGTTTTACGTCCTCAAACAGCAGAAAAGAGTTGCACAAAACAGACTAGAAGGTATTCATTGGCGTTTTAGTTTCATACCCAGAGTCCGTCTTACACACGGTCAACAAAGCATGACGAGGGTCAAGGCGGGGTACGAAAATGAAGATCAACATTTAGCCTCTTAATGAGAACAAAATTATTTTGGAGTTAGTCACTATAGTCAGTAACACCAGGCTTATTGATCTTAGTTCCAAATAATTTTTGGAGTTGGTCAGTAGCTCCAGGCTTAGCTACCTAACTCCTAAATAATTTTTGAAGTTATACCTAGCTCCAAATGATTTTTGGAGTAACCAAGTTACTGCATGCTTAGATATTTACAGTAGCTCCTAAATAATTTTTGGAGTTATACCTACAACTCCAAATGATTTTTTGAGTTTGCCAGTAACTCCATAATTCATATTTCAACTCAGATTTGAATTATACACAAGTTACTCAAGTGTATATATTTTGGTTTGGAGTTAGCCCTTTAGACTTTGGAGGTTATTAGCATCGCTCCATTACTTCCTACTGCAGCTATCACATAGCATGTAAAATAAAATTTTATTTTATTGCAGTAGCATATAAAAATAAAATTAGCATATAAAATAAAACTGCATAGTAGCATATAAAATAAAATTTTCCTTGAAATTTTCATTAATTTAAGAAAATTTGTGATCACATACTCTGGAAAAAACTGTATTCACAAATTTTCTTAAATTACTAGTAATGAAAATTTCAAGGAAAATTTTTATTTTAAAAATAGCAGCTGCTTCGTATTAACAGAAAAATAGTAACCAGCACAATACTCCATATTATATCAACAGAGTTGTTTACAAAAATATTAAGTTTCCCTTTTGCTATAATTGAAATCCAAATTGCAAATATTAACTTGCAAGTTGCAACCTAATTTGAACCATGGAATAATTTACCTTGTCATGCAAGTGAGCTCGTTTTCTTTAAATTTGAGATCTTTTCTTGCAACAAATGCATCCGCTTCTTCTTTAGTTTCAAACTCAACAAAAACTGATCCTTTGAATGTTCTGATCTCACCAAGAGTTTTTCTCATCTTGATATTTACACACTTGATTAATAGTTAAGAAACAATTTAATTAAAAGTATTGTACAGTAGCTTCAATAATCACATTCTATGTTCTTACATGTTTATCATGCAAACTAGCCTGTGTAGCAGGGGTTCTATTTGCTTTTGTGGCATTTCATATTTGATGTAATATATGAACAACGAGAGCGAGTGTTTCATCGGGATATCCAAACACAAGAAAACAATGTATGAAAACACGAGCGCGAAGAGCGAGTGTTTTCATACATTGTTTTCGAGTGTTTGGATATCCCGGTGAGACATGAGCTCGAGTTGTTTATGTGGCTTCGCAAATGAATCGAGACGTAATAGAATGTTTTCGTTTGCTGATTTGAATAGAATTCTTAACCAAGCATAACGTAATTAGGAATTCTATTCAAGTAATTTTGCATGCGTAATTAAGATTTTGATGAAAACACTAGTGACTTTCGTCAAGTTTCACCGGGTTATCCAAATGGCATCTTGTGATCAAATAGGTGATTATCATTGGCTGAATTGCTCATGAATTATTAATGAATTTGAGAAACATCATTTCATCAATGCTACAGAAAACAGGGCTCCACTTTGTGGTGATACAATTTTCTTAGATTTCTGTTAGATCAGGAATTAAATTACTTCCCGATTTTTGTCATGTGTTTCTTCTGCAATGCAGCCGCTTGTCAAGCATGTTCCAAAAGGGGGAAAATTGAAGAAAGAAATGTCTCATCATTTCTAAAGACTACTAAATGTCTATCTGTCTACTAATAACACCAATTCCCCCAAATTTACACTAGAGCAAACAAATAACAATTCCTGCTGTTGTCCAGAGATCAACAGCATTTCATTCTCAAACTACGGCTACTACTGTGATTACCGTTGCTTGAGAGGAAATTCAAGCTCTGTTGTTTATACACTTCTCTGTGTCCCATTACATTGATCACCTGTTCACATGTGTCAATTGACCATTTGCGTAATAGACTAAATTTTGATCTCAACAAAAAATTCATTACGGCTTGAAAGAGCATCACAAAATTAGTAATATTCCAAAGTTTCGTTGCAAAATGTTGTAAAATGCGGAAAATATAGCCTTGCGAAATTTGCAATTTTCAGTCATTTTAGATTACAAACCGGAGATCGACAGCCTCGAAGGGTTTGGGGCTGTCAATTTCCCGTTTGTAATCTAAAATGACTGAAAATTGCAAATTTCGCAAGGCTATATTTTCCGCATTTTACAACATTTTGCGACGAAACTTTGGAATATTACTAATTTTGTGATGCTCCTTCAAGCTGTGATGAAATTTTTGTCTAGACGTGTTTAGTTCAAAATTTAGTCTATTACGCAAATGGTTAATTACAGTACATATTTAATTATTTACTTGTTTGTTTGTACATTTGTTCACATGTCAATTGAATGTTTACACAAGTATCTGTTTGTCTTTTCGTCTGTCTGTTCGCAGGTCAATTAGATGTTTCTCTACTGTTTTTTCTGATCATTCAATGGCATTTATTTACAGTACATGTCAATCACATCTCATTGTCAATCACATGCGAGTATGAAAATATTGAAAAAGCCAAACCTTTCCTTTGTCTTCGAAAAATTCTTCAAGTTCATCCAAGGTTGTTGTTTCAGGAAAACCTTTCTAAACACATTTTAAACCATAAATATATTATTAAAGTGTTGTACATTTACAATTAGTGTAGTATAATAAACCTCAGTTTCACTTAGGTTGGACAGAATGTCCGGTGGTTTCCTCTTTACATTGGACAATTTCATGAATGGGTCAAGATAATGTCCGTGACCAATCAATATTTTAAGGCCTGGCATTAGACAGAGTAAAATATTGTCGGGTGCATTTGGACATAAAAAAATTCTAGAATGTGTATCCTACGGGAATACAATGTACTGTATACCAAACATTGTATTCCCGTAGGATACACATTCTAGAATTTTTTATGCCCAAATGCACCCGACATTATTTTACTCTGTCTAATGCCAGGCCTTAATTGGTCACAGGGTGCGATAATTCGCGTACCAACGTACCGGAGGTACGCCAAATTTATGGTCTGGAACTTCTTTGTTTTCAGGCAAGTACCACGTAGGTACGAGGAAATTTGGTATTCGCGTACTTACATTTTTCTTCTAGCAATAACTAGCAAACCTGCCAAAGTATTCAAACCGTGAAGAACTTTAGCTATACTATACAATTACTTTATGGTTTCCGTGTTTGGATGGCCTGATCCAAACACGGGTTTCGACCAATCAGAACACGCGTTATATACATGTTATTTTATAAATGTAAATTCCACGCATCCGATTTATTTTGGGATGAAAAAAGCCAAAAGGTTATCTTTGCGCTTGATCAAAAAATGTATCGTCATCGTCCGACTGAAAAAAAAATCGCTCGGGTGAGCGATTTTAAAATCGTTATCGTCAAGCGATAATTTAATCGTTTTCGTTGTAGTGTGGACACCAACATAATTTTTTAACCAATCATCGCGTGTTTACAAGTTATCGTATCGTTATCGTTGTGTGGTGTGACCTGGGCTTAATTGTCAATGCTATACCAAGGCCTAAAAAAATACCTGTGGTTCCGGTTTCCCGACCGACCGTATTTTTTTCTGCCCACCCTATTATGAGGGTGGGAAAGGGTATTTTCGTGAGCCGTGAATATTTGTTCGTGTGAAATGCTTGATTTTAATGTCGTGAAATGTGATTTGTTCTACAGCCGTGAGGCGTGATTGTTGATAAAAATGCTCCGTGAAATGAGAATTAAAGATGCCTGTTTCGTGAACTGTGATTATTATAGTGATTATTATAATAAACATGATACGCGATAATCAAATTTATATGATCTCACTCGATTGCACAAGAGTAAAAACTTCGGAGGCCTTTCGCGAGGTTCCTGACGCTGAGGACAAGGTTCCTGACGCTGAGGACAAGGTTCCTGGCGGCGAGGACAAGGTTCCTGGCGGTGAGGACAAGGTTCCTGGCGGCGAGGACAAGGTTCGTGGCGGCGAGGACAAGGTTCCTGGCGGCGAGGACAAGGTTCCTGGCGGTGAGGACAAGGTTCCTGGCGGCGAGGACAAGGTTCCTGGCGGCGAGGACAAGGTTCCTGGCGGCTAGGACAAGGTTCCTGGCGGCGAGAACAAGGTTCCTGGCGGCGAGGACAAGGTTCCTGGCG